TTCCCACTGCAGGGGCAAAGGAGGGGAAAGGTCAGGGACATAGTATGCTTTAAGGTTGCCACATTCATGTAGGTGGGAGAGGTGAGACCCAGAAAAGTCTGGTTGTTACTGTTAGATACCATTGAGTTAATTCTGACCCCTAGTGACTCTATAGGACAGAGTAGAACTGCCCTATAGGGTTTCCTGGGCTGTAATCATTATGGGAGCAGATTGCCAGGTCTTTTCTCCTAGGCATCCGCTAGTGGGCTTAAACCACTGACTTTTCAGTTACCAGTTGAACACTGTAACCATTGTGCCACCAGGGTCCTCAGTTTGGTTTTAGAGAAACATAAAGAATGCCTGGATGATAAAAATGAGAGCCCATGAGGTCAGAAGGGTACAGAAGGGGGCAGGGACTTGCAAAAAAGCTTGAAAGGTAGAGAGGAAGATTGTTTTTTTAAGATTGTGGGGCAGACAGGAAGCCACTGGTGAATTCAGAGAAGAGGATGCTATAGGAATCCTTGGTATGTCACACACACTGTGCAACTTGCTAAATTTGGTATTATTGGAACAACACCTTTGGTTCTATAAAAGCTCTCATCTCTGTTAGGTAAGTCATTTAGCTCTGAATGTGTGTTTGCTAAAAATAGAAATAAAAACTAAGAAGACAGATAATCTTGTTTTAAAGCATCTTTTGGTACTTTTTAACTTATAGTTCTCATGCAAGATTTAAAAAGGAGGACAGTATGAGTCTCCAATTTGGATTATGTGGAACAAATAACTTAGAAGTGAATAAAGAGTTTAAAACCAGTGTGTCTGTTATGCATTGAATTGTGTCCCCCCAGGTATGTGTCAACTTGGCTGGGCCATGATTCTCAGTGGTTTGCCAGTTATGTAATGATGTACTTTGGCAATTATGTAATGATGCAATTATCTCCCATGATGTGATCTGATGTGATCAGCCAATCAGTTGTAAGGGGATTGGGGTGAGATGCAACACCCTACTCAGCTCACAGCCCTGATCTGATGTAAAGGGAGTTTCCCTGAGGTGTGCTCTGCATCATCTTTTATCTTACAAAACATAAAAGGACAGAGAAATGAGCAGAGAAGGAAGGACCAGACTACCACCAAGAAAAAAACCAGGAATACAGCATGTCCTTTGCACCCGGGGTTGCTGCAGGGAGACTCTCCTAGACCCAGGGGAAGACTGATGCCAAGACATATGGAAAGCTCTAAGGGACACTTAGCCCACAGATAAAGAAAGAAAAAAAGGAACTTCCCCCCGGAGGCAACAGAGAAAGAAAGCCTTCTCCTAGAGCTGGCACCCTGAATTTGGACGTCTAGCCTCCTAAACCCTAAGAAAATAAATTTCTCTTTGTTAAAGCCATCCACTTGTGGTATTTCTATTATAGCAGCACTGGATAACTAAAACAATATCACAGTAAGGAAAGAAATGGAAATTTTCTAAGTCATAAATAACTATATTTACAAAATCAAAGACCTGCCATCGTTTTTTTCTCAAGCCAGCCTGAAGAAATGAAAATATCTTCAAAGTCCTCTCAAAAAGTTTTTATAGCACTCAAGTTCTTGTTCCTCCATCCACCACCTCCAATTCCATCCAAATACAGAAATGTGGAGTTTCTGATAGCAGCTTTCTTAAAGGTCTTGGAAATGCCATCTATTTTTAATTCAATCAGTTTAAGAATGAATTTGTTGTATGATACACTAGATCAATAATTTATGATTGGAATGTCGGCACATAAGGGTTCAGAAATTTAGCCAAGCCTCAAAGGGCTACTCAGACCAGCCAGGCTAAGTACCCAAAAGGTCTCCCTCCTCCCACCTTCTCCCTGCTTCCAAGACAAAGTAGGCAGAGCCTTGGGCCATTGCTCAAACACAGCTGCACACCTTCAGTCAGCAACCATCCATTCCACACCCTCAGGAGGCAGAGCTTTTCTTGGGCGAGAGAGTCAAGGCTATTGACCCCCCACTCCCCTACTCAGAACAGGCTCTGCATATTCAGAGAAGCTTGGAGAAAACTCTCAATTAAGCCCCCATACTTAACTATCACATAACCACAAACTGAACACCTTCTAAGCGAAATGGAATATTAAGTACATAAGACAATGACCACAGTATTTAAATGACCAAATAAAAAACCACAAGGAAATAAAAATAGACTAAATGTGTGCCTGCAAAAAATGTTTACCCAAAGTAATAGCTTACATTCCACAGTTCCCAAGATTATTGTAAATACATAGCTAGCTGGCCTGAAGCTGTGTATATTAAGTCCAAAATGAGTGGAGATTTGGTGGTTTTTTTATTATGATCTTTGAAGCAGCCAAACCAGATAATCTGGTTAAAAAAACAAAACAAAACAAAAAAATGCAAAAAATCTAATGGGTCTGAATTATAAAGTTCTTAATGAATGTTTGTAATTCTGACTGTGCTAAAATTATAGTGTATAGCAACATAGTCTTTAAAAGGTAATTCCTGACTCCAGGAATGTATAATCTGGTTTTACTACCTGTTGTTGTTGTTATGTTGTTTTGTGCTGTGGAGTCGGACCCAATCCATAGCGACCCCTCCTTGGGTTTCCGAGGCAGTATCACTATGGAAGTAGATTGCCCCATCTTCCTTCTGAGGAGTGGCTGGTGGGTTTGAACCGCCAGCCTTCTGGTTAGCAGTCAAGTGCCTTAGGCACTATGCTACCAGAGCTCCTGTGTGGCTCAAATTCAACAAATAATTGCCAAAGAAACACATCACTTTACTTTGTACAATTACTGCCTAAAAGCCTAAGAATCTATCCTGCAGTTATATGTGGGATGAAAGAAAGTCTCAAATTTCCTGGGAGAAGTTAACCCCAGTCACACAGGACATTTTAGGGAAATAATAGTGGGTAAATTTGAGAGATCTGGAGCCTGGTCCCTGCGTTCAAATTCCACCGGTTTTTAGCTGTGTGACACTGGATATGTTACTTAGTCTCTCTGTGCCACAATTTTCACCTCTGAAAATAAGTATAATAGTAATGCCTACCTCACAGAGTTATTGGGACAATACCTGTATTGTCAAGGTAAATCTGTATTAAGGTTATTTATTACTCCTCTTCCTTTGTATCATCTCCTCTACTTCAAATCATAAATTCCTCTCTTGAAACAAAGTTATCCATTATTAACTAGAGAGAAAATGGGCTTTATGAGAAAGGAAAAGTAGATTGTTCAAGGTAATGGTTCATTTTATAAATCAACACAGGGATTTTTTTTTTTCCCCTGATGAAAGAGTCCATGAGGTAATAAATGCCAAAAATCATGTTTTTGCATTATTTCTTTTTAACACTGGTAAAATCTGGTAAAGAGGGCAGTACTTCTTTAAGAATGCCAGTTGTAATTTACATTGCCAGCTGCCATGCTGTTTTCTTTCCATAAGAGTAAAGCTAAACTTGATGAGGTCACTGAATAAAAGTGACTTTAGACTTTGTAACTGCTGCTGTCACTTTCTAGATTGCAGCCTTCAAGGTTGATTTCACTTCTCAATAATAAATGTATGGACATCTCTTTTTCTCTGCTTGCCAGTTTATGTGAAATGAAGGTACTCAGCAATAAGGAAAGGAGGAGCAAAAAAATCAATTACCCCAAGGAAAGTAGTATTTGGTCTTAAGTAAGGAAACTGAATATGGGGAGAACCACTTCAAGAACTAGAAATTTCTTGCTAGGTAAAAGGTTAGTTTCTGGTAGAAGGTTAGTTTCTGGTTGCATTGTAAAGTCAAATCTTAATGTCTTCAGGATTACTTATCCTCTGATCTTCCCTACTGAGGCAGATAATGGAAAGCTGATAACTGATACCTGTTTCTTCAGACAGTTGTAACCTTTTTCCAAGAAGAACCATAACTCATGTGTTACAATAAAGACTTTGGACATTGCAATTGAAAGCTTTTGAACAAAAGATTTATCACTAATCTTAAGCAGTGGTTATTGGCCAGAACCAAGTATTTACAGCCTGACATTAAGAAAGGATGGGCCTGAAGGTTGACTATTCAGAATGAGAGCAACTCACAGCTAGCACAGTCTTAAAGGCCAGACAAAATAATACCCATTGTCAATCTAAAAGCATAGGTACCATGCCCAAATCAGTTTTTATAACAGCCTCATCAAACAAGGAAAAATCACACCAATTCATTGGTATCTGCATCACTACAAAGTAATTCTGTTCCTGGATACTGCCTGTCTCTTTAGATGGGGCTACTTAAAACCTTAAAACAAAATGGACATGCTGAGCAAGTTATAATCTTATTGCCAAGAATAAACACACAAATAACAGTGCAGAATTCATGGGAAAATGATGCTATCAAAGAATTATGACATTCTATAAGCTCTAGTCACAATAAAAGTACTCATACCCTCAGTCCATTCAAGCTCCAATAAAAGTGTTTTCAAGAAGTGGCTAATAGTCATTTGTGACTGTGCCCAGCTTCACCTAAAGATGTCAAAAGTCTCCCTCATCAGCTACATAATCGTACCTGGGGCTTTTAATTTTACCTACCCAAAGAATATACAGCAAACTGCATCCTAGGCAAAGAGCAAGACACTAAAGCAAATTCTGAAAAGCTTTGTTTTAAGAGCCTAAGAGACTGAGCAGTTTAATTCCTCTCTCATTCAGGGTCCCCAGGGCAGCAGAGGCCAGACCCAGGAGAGCAGGCAAGATCTGAATCAATGCCTCCTCGGCTTCCTCTTGGAGACCCTTTGAGCCACAGCTGCGAGGTAGGTCAGCTAACTTCTTCCTGCATCCTTTCCAGGGCAACTTTCAAGAGAAGATGAGTCCTGGGTCTTAGAGACTAGGTGTCTGGTTGTCTGCTTGCATGTCAACCAAAGTGACTTAGACCCTTCTCAGAAGTCTCCCGGGCACAAAAGGCTCCCTTCAGCAGAGGTGCGGCAGTGGGTGGGAGAGAGGGAGAGAGAAAGAGACAGACACAGGCTGACACACACCCGCAGGCACAGCCTAAGGCTTAAAAGGAAACCTCTTACCTTATACTTCATTTCGACAGCGGTGAATTGAGCCGTTTTCCTAAACTAGTTCGACAGCATTAAGGACTGGAGTGTCCGTCCCTCCATTGAGTGTTAAATGAAATGAAAATGAGAATGGTCCCTAGATCGAAGCTAGTTTGTCAGCCAGAGTCCGCCGAGCCCAGTGCACAGTTAAGTTTCAAAGCTTCTGAGCTCACTGTTTTGACCAAGGCAGGACGTTTAAGGGCTTATTTGCATACTGCCCCGCCATTGGCTCATAGGGCAAGGTAATGTTGGTGCCCCGCCCACCGCTTAACTTCTGAAAACTGACAAAGAACGTGTAACGTGATAATTCCCTTTTACGTTATGAAAAAGGTTGGAAAATAAGACAGAAAGGGGAGAACCTCCCCAAACCTAACTATCCCTCTACCTCACCAAAAACAAAAGAAAAAAATTCAACAAAAGAAATAAATTCTTTTTAAGATTAACCTACATTTTAAAGAAACTGCTTCACAAAAGTCTGACAGTCTTGCTTCCTGTGCCCTAGCAACTCCTTCATAAACCCGCTTCATTTCAAAGCCAGTCACCTCACAATCTCGACATGAAACGAACTCCGGGAACAAAAGGTTTTCTGTCTCCAGTCCCCTTTTTACTAACCACCCCTGCTGATATCTTTCTCTCCACCCCCCCGCCTTTTTTTTTCGGTGGCTGTTTGCTTTTTTTGTTCTTTTCACTGTTCAAAGCACTTCCAACGTCAATCTGCAACGAGTGGGAATACAATCCTCCCTCAGTGAAAAGGAGCTCACTAGAGCTTCCCTGGACCGATTCTCACGAGGGCCTCCCAGAGCTGAGTGTCACACACATTCAGCGATCTTCACCGTCTTGGCTTAGGATAAAGGTTCGATGTGACCTCTCCAAAGTGGCTGGCCGGTGTACACCCTATACATCACCACTGCCCACTGCAGGCTGTTTTCTTTGATGACTGGTCTTTCTAGCTCCAACTTTGAACACTGCAGTTTTTCCTGCTGACCTCTCACCTGAAGGTGACCCATTAACCCACCAACACTTGTTATCCAGGGAACAAAAAATGCCCACCATTTGATGAGCCTGGTTAAAAAGATTGGTGTCTCTCCAGTAAAGCACAGAACATTAGGTTCAGCTTGGTGATTTCTGTGGAGAAAAAGACTCACGCAGGAGAGGACAGAAATGGTCACTTTCAGCAACTCTTCGGAAGGACGGAATGGTGAGGGGAAAATTCTTTCTCATTGGCCTCAGGACTGAGACTTGGTGAATTCAGACAATAGCGCTTCTGGAATGGGACGGACTCCAACCAACTACGTGACTTGGATGGAAAAACCAACCCTTATTATTTTCCTGATTGAATTGGATCAGAATCAGTTTCTTTTCTTTTTTTCCTTCAAATTCCCAATGGATTAAAATTCCACTTTTATGATTTAAGCAAAAATAAAGAAAGAAACAAAAGAATAGTTGAGCAGCTGGCCTAGGAAAGTAGTTTCCAGAATGAATGTGGCACTGATTCCCGGGACACAGCCCAGCCCGCTTGCAGTCTTAATGGGGTTGACACACGCCTTTGGGTCTTTGCTCTGTGGCTGGCCGCTGCAAGAGCTTGGGCTGCTTCTTCACTCGGCCTTGCTTTTCTTCATTTGGCCTTAGAGCCTGAGTGGTTCTGCAAGGTCTCTGTGAATAGATTAAACATGCACTATATTGTGTTGCAAGGATCTTCCTCACAGCACTGCATACTTAGGGGAGATTCCTTAGTTTGCAGGAAATTGATTTTTGGTGTCTGGCTGAATAAGGGAAGACAATTAGTTAAAGGACTTTCCATCTGTAAGATGAGTCTTGTGGGCCTCCAGGAGATCTCGATAACATTCCTTTGGCTTCCTAAGCAGCAAAGCTGAATCCCCTTCTGTTTTGTTTGATGAGGACCATTGCGTATGTGAATACTATTTCACTCCATTTTAATTCTTTACAATTCCCCAACACATATGCTAGGGCTTTTGGTAATTTTATTCTCTAGCCTTAAAACATAATTCTCACCAATGGCCAGCCTGCTTTCCTGTTTCTGTCCCATGCGTTAGGAAACATAAAATCTACCTGAAGTTCATTTCAAGATGGTTTGGGTCAGTTGCATGAGGGTATTGGAGCCAAAGGAACTGTGTTGGATTGTCGGAAAATTTCCTAATTTCTTTATTTTGGAGTCCCTGGGTGCTGCAAATGGTAAATATGCTTGGCTACTAACTTAGCCAGAGATGCCTCAGAAGAAAGCCCTGGTTAACTGCTTTCAAAAGGTCACAACCATTGAAAATCCTATGAGGCACAGTTCTACTCTGAAACACATGGGGCTGCCATGAATAGGAATTGACTAGATGGCGACTGGTTTGGTTTTTTGGTTTTAGTCTCAATGTGGCTTGTTGTTGTTGTTATGTGCCGTCAAGTCGGACCTGACTCATAGAGACCCCTCCTTGGGTTGCTGAGGCAGTATCATTACAGAAGTAGATTGCCCAACCTTCCTTCTGAGGAGTGGCTAGGGGATTTGAACCGCCAGCCTCTGGTTAGCAGTCAAGTGCCTTAGGCATTATGCTACCAGAGCTCCCCAATGTGGCTTAACTAATACTATTTAATTATACTATATTATAAATATATAGTACACTACATTTATAACTCACTGCTGTGGAGTCAGATCTGACTCATAGCAACTCCTCCTTGGGTTTTTGAGGCAGTATCACTAAGAACTAGATTGCCCAAGCTTCCCATACTATATATATATAGTATCTATCTCTCTATCTATATTATAGTATATACTATTTAACTATACTGTATTTGTTACATTTTTAGTGTCCTTGCGCCTGTTCCTTCAAATCCCTTTGGGGAAACATAAATTTCTCTCAATGAATAGAGAAACAGGTCTGCCACCCCCATTACCTGAGATATTGGGTGTAAAAGTGCTCTTTAAAGTACAATATATAAACACTGCAATTGATTTATGCAGCAGCCCTAGGACTCCCATGGGATCCTCCTACAGAAGGCCAGGCCAGGACATTGGAACACAGGCCCTGCCCCAGATTTGTCAGCACTCTCTTCAATGGGCTTTTCAGCCTCTCAGCCTTGCTGCCTGTCTGCTTGTCTGCCAAAGGTCTGGCTTCCCAGATGCTCATACAGGCAGGAGCAGGGCAAATGGCACCAGAAGCCCTACAAACAACTCTTTAGCTGCCACTGGACATTGACATGGACATAGCAAAAAATCCAAGAGGATGCTAGAGGAGAGAGATACTTCTGTCTACAACGTGGGAGGAAGCCATGTGGCTGCTTTCTCAGAACAAAGGGAAAGTCACAGAGCCAGAGCATGTCAGGGCAGAAAGCAACCTTGGACATCATTGAATACAACCCCTCATAGAGAGGATGATCTGTTTCTCAGAAAGCATAAGCGCCTTGCACAGGGTCATACCATGTTGAATATTAAGAATCCTTGCTGTAGATCCAATGTCAGTTTGTCATATGTGGTGCTTTGGGTGCTACCATGATGCTGGAAGCTATGCCACCGATATCTCAAATTTCAGCAGAGTCATCCATGGTGGACAGGTTTCAATGGAGTTTCCAGACTAAGACTAGGAAGAAAATCTTGACAATCTACTTCTGAAAACTGGCCAATGAAAATCTGATGGTTTTGTCTGCTGTCATTTAGGATGCGTCGCTGGGAGGGACTGATCCTGAAGAAGGACATCATATTCAGTAAAGTGGAGGGCCAGTGAAGGAAACCCTCAATGAGATGGATTGACACAATAGTTACAGTAATAGACTCAAACACACCAACAATCATGAAGATAGTGCAGGACTGGGCAACTTTCTGTTCTGCCATACAAGAGGTCACCATGCATCAGAGCTGACTCCACAGCAGCTAACAACAGCTGTATGGCAGTCCTCGCTGGTCTCTTGTCTGATCTGTTCCAGTAATTTATTTTTAATTTCTCTGCCTGCTTTGCTCTAATCTAGAGTCCACATTGTTGATGTTATGTGCTGTCGCGTCAGTTCCAACTCCTAACAACCCTATGGTACCTGTTTAATTTCTGGAGGACAGAGCCAATCACATTCTACCCTGTTTAAGACTTCCAATGAGACGTTAATGTCTTATTAAACAAAACCCAGACACACTGGAATGGTGTATAATCTGAGTCCACCTTCCCTGCCTGGCCTTATTTCCCACTAAGATCCCCCCACATCCTAAACTCTTGCCACTCTGGGGGACTCACCGACTCTAAGATGGGCATATACCATCCTGCTTTTGCAGGGACTGGTCCCTCTTCACAAATATCTTCCTTCCCTCCCTTTTCTGCTATCCAGCCGCTTTTCAATACTAACTCTTTTGTGTATCTTAGTCAACATTCCAGGAGCTCTGCTGGCATAGTGCCTAAGGCATTTGACTGCTAAACAGAAGGCTGGCGGTTCAAACCCTCCAGCCACTCCTTGGAAGGAAGGTTGGGCAGTCTACTTCCTCGGAAACCCAAGGAGGGTAGCTATGAGTCAGATCCTTCTCCACTGCAGTGCATTGCGTTTGCGTTAGTCAACATTCCCTACCCTGTCCATCTAGCCCTTTTAGAACTAATTCCTGCTTCTTTATGTTATGCCCCATTGTACTTTGGACACACCCTTACTATAGGGCTTTTCCATACTGTACCATAATGATTTGTTGGTGACTGTTTCCTCAGCTTGAATATGAGCTCTAGAGGGACAGAGTGGTCTCTTGTTTGTCTCTGTGCCCCCTGTACCTAGCAGAGTGTCTTGTAGGTATTCAAATGCTTTCAGAATGAATGAATAAGATGATAAATAGACTTCAAAAAATGAATATTTACCTTCAGGTTCTGCTTGGTGCCCAGGAAGGAAATGGGGAACACATATTTGAGGACAGTAGGTACTTTACATTTAGTTGAGGCAGCTGTGGGGATAGGAACCAACTTTTTGGAACCAACTCAAGAGCTCTGGTGGCGTAGTGCCTAAGGCATTTGACTACTAACCAGAAGGCTGGCAGTTCAAACTCACCAGCCACTCCTCAGAAGGAAGACTGGGCAATCTACTTCTGTAGAGATACTGCCTTGGAAACCCAAGGAGGAGTCAACCCAAAGAAGG